GTCAGATATATATATATGTCAGATATATATATGTCAGATATATATATAAATATGCCTTTATATATATATATATATATATATATATATATATATACATAAAGATGAGTCATGTTAAAATATGATATATTTTAAGTAGTGAGCGCTGTTGCCTTTACCAGTGCTGCCATGGCCCATCCAGTCTTGTTGTATATGAATTCCAAGTTGTTTCTTCTCAGGTACAATAGACCTCCAACAAGAGACACTAACAGAGCCAAAGCAATGGTCCCTGAATAATTAGGTGGACGGAAGACACGGATCTAGAGAGAATGACATGAGCAATTGTTTAACTCTTGCGACACTTGTACAACAATCAACACATGTACAACACACACACACACGCACGCACACACACACACACACACACACACACACACACACACACACACACACACACACACACACACACACAGCAGATGACAAATTCAACATTGTTTTTGAACTCCAGGCTGGTGGCATGCTGACAAAGTGAGTGTGCCACAGCCATTTTGCTAATATGTGTGCCCGCCTTCACGCCGTCCGGCCATAAACAAGACTCATGTGTATAACATACCTGGACATCTGTGCGGTCTGCAATCCACTTGGCCAGCTGCTCTGAAGCAAAGCCAATCCTTTGTAGGTCAAACGTGTCCGCTCTTCTTGGCTTTCCCTTTGCTGGAAAATGCATAAAGGTTGGTGCGCTGTTCATGTTCAGCTAGAAACAAGAACACAAAATGAATGTCTAAAGTATTAAGTTAAGATATACATTATGCAAGTCGTGGGATTGTATTTCCAGGTTTCCTGCAATTATTCATCGAGACTGGCACATACGAATTTGTAAATCACTTGGACTATATCCTATTTGTTGCTGTATAAGCTGCATCATATCCATTTAACTGCGAAAATCATTTCATCAAATTAGTTTCCAGAATACATAAAATAGAAAGAACTGTAAAAGGCAAAAGTCTGTAATCCTGCCGGCACTCTCAACCCTTTTCCCATTACTGTGTGTTCAAGCTATTTTAAAGTTTTCAGAAGTCTTTTTTTTTCTTTTTTTCAGTAGAAAGTGTTACTACCTCTCTGAAGGATTTCAATACTTATTTAGGTCAAGACTCATTGCTTCTTTTCCAACTATGCTTTTATGCTGCTGGGTGGGTTTCCATTCAGCCTGATATCTGTGCCTTGAAAACTAGTTTATAAGACAGTGGCTCATACATTTTGCTCCGAGATGCTGCAATAATCTTCTGATTTGATCATTGCTTTGATGCCTTCAATGCCTCGAGGACCTGTTGCACCGACACAGGACTTCAGTATGACAAAGACAGCTGCATAACATGAAAACCTCCAACAGCTTCACTTTGTCTTAATTTATTCACCTATTATCTAACTGATACCCTGCCTTTGCTGATAATGTATCTATAATTAATCCAAACAAATGGCCTTATTTGCATCTCGTCATGATGATGTTAAATTATGTCCTAGAAACTGTTTCAGCAATCTTAACAGGACTGTGAGCATGGATGGAGCTATTTAAAAAAAACAAAACAAACAAAAAAACACGCATTTGAAGACTTGGAGAAGGCGTTCACGTTCCTAAGTGTCCTATGGATATGCTCGCCGAATATGGGAAATCGGACACCCACATAAAAGCCCTTTGGTCCCTTCCTTGATCCACACTGCTGACAGTATTTTGGATTTATTTCAAGTGAGGATTGGACCCCACCCAAGGCTGCACTTTGTCACAGATTCTGATCATAACATTTATGGACAAAATTGAGTGCAATTGAGGACTTGGGGGAGTCTGGTCAGGTGGCCTCAGTATAACATCTCTGCTTTTTGCAGAAATTGTTCAATAAGAGTGCAGAGTGCATATTTGCAAAAGAATAAAACAGTTGTAGAATGTATAACATCCAAAAAGCAAGGAAATATTCAATAGTAACCTGTTGAAAAACATCCGCTCCTTCATCATAGTCCACGATGGTGAAAAACAGCTTGTTTGAGAAAGCAGATGAGTAGCGCCATGAGTTTGCCAAAACCTGATACTCCTCATTTGCTTGCCTGGAACATTAAAGTGCGACAAAACAACAGTAATGAGGACAAACATAACATACAACGTAAGGTATTTAATTGCAGTTTTAAGCAGACATTTGACACAGGTTTGTTTGACGTTACTTCGAGATAAAGAGAGAAAAGGGAATCAATTCTTTATTTTATTTTTTAATTGAATAACTGAAATCATTATATTTTGGTATATCGTTATTGTGGTATAAAATGGCCGACATTGTGATAGAAGATTTTTTTTATCCATATCAGCCTCCAAACCCGACAATTCTCGCTGTTTGATGGACGATTGGATTGTCTGACATTGTCTGGTTATTATTGTATGTGTTATGCAAAATTTATTACTAACTCTGTAAATTGAGTTGAAAAGAGAGAACAAAGACATAATGGAAAAGGGACCATGCCTTTGTGTACTTTTTCCAAAACTCCTGTGAAATCGATGGATGCGGTTGTGTCGTAGGGCATCCCTTACGAAACAAAAATATAGTGTAATATATTGGAATATACATGGAGTAATAATATTGTCATATATGAGATTTTGTATTTATATTTTCTAACATACTTCAATATGTGCATAGACCATATATGTGTATATATCGATAAACATATTAAAAAAGTGTTGCAATTGAGACCAAAAAGGCTCTATATTTTATATATATATTTATAGTCTGTCTTTATATTTGACAACATATTGTAATATATAATTTTTATATATA